AAAAAAAAGAGTTCCCAACCAAAATTCCAAATGCACCTTTAAGTGTGGTGATTGTGGGTTTGGTCACTATATTTGAGATTTACTCTCCAAGTTTTAATAGAATATTTGGTTACTCTTGCTTCATTCCTATGTGCAAAGAAAATTAGAGATTCAAATTATCCTTTTTTTTTTTTTGGCAAAAAGCACACAATGTCTTTTTTAACAAATTTTACAACTCAATCCTGTGTGGTAGTTTTGTAAATGATTTTATTCGCTTCCTAATGCTACTTGATTATCATAAGATTTGGTTACAAGAAAATAGTGTGTAAATCAATCTAACTTTATTTATTTTTTTCTTTGCACATGTAAATATATGTTTTTTTTTTTTTTTAACCTCAAATAATAGAGTTCACAATATGAAATTACTTTTCCCTTTCTAAATTCTTTCTCACCTCACCTATGTTAAAATGCAAATTTGAGATCTTCAACTAAAGGTTTGTTTCATTTTTTTAATTGATAATAATTATAGATTTTATTGAATTTTTTTTCCTTTTTAACTTATGATAAGGGTGTCTTGAGTTAATTTTGCTTACTTTAAGATTGAATCAGTTTTAGAATATTTTAAGAGCACATCTCCTACATTAGCTTGGTATAAGTAAGAAAATTAACTGAAAACTTGAATTCTAAACCTTAAAACACTTCTTTATTCAGTGGATTTAATTCTTGAATTATCATAGATCTTATTTTTTAATCTTGAATATATAATAAGAGATAATTCTCTTTTATTACTTAACCACCTACTTGCTATATAACTCAAAATAAAAATTTTTTATTTTCATTTGATCGAGAATATTGCTACTACTAAGTTAATTAGCTAGTTGGCATAATAAATTTTACTCATAACTAGGTATATAAACTTCATCACAGATGCCTTAGAGGGGTGAGTTCCTTCCTCTAATAATAATCATAGGGGCTCCAGTTCTTAAACGTCCTACCAGCATAAATCCACCTTCTGTATCAAATAATAATTTCACTTCCCTACCCTACCGATTTTCAAATAAATAGGGAACTTAACTACTTTCTGCCCACTGCCGCCGTCACCATTCCAAGCACGCCTGAAATCCTCCACCATGTCTGCCGTCAGCAGCTCCGTGCCGTTGTCCTTGGCCTTCTGATAGACCGACGTCGTTGTCAAGTATGTCATATACTCGTCATACTCCATCACCCTCTCTGTCACAAATTCAAATGGTCCCGTGCTCCCCGCTCGCTCCACCGCTTCGAAAGGGAAATCGACGCTACTGTACTTATCATCTACCAATAAACGCCTCGGATCCCGGTGAGGGTTGTTGTAGAATCGTCGTATTAAATCGTCAACGGCGTTGTTGACTTCCGGCAGCGTGTACAACCAGGCGGCGAATACTCCATTGGGTTTCCTCAGCACCCACTTAACCTGTGTTGCCAATTAAGGAGGATGTATAAGTTTCAGTTGTGCCTATGACCTGTTTGTTTAAATTCCTCTTAGACGTTCTGTTTCTATAGCCTCTATTTTTTTTTTTTTCCTTATTTCACAATAACCTTTGTTCTGTGTTCAAACCTGTTCGTAAAATTTAGGGAGGTCGAACCAGTGGAGCGCTTGAGCCACCGTCACCAGATCCACGCTCGACTCTGCTGCCACCTTCTCTTCAAGCTCTGCCATTGACATGATGGGAGGGGTATGTTGGTACCGTATGTTGGGGAGCTTTGTTGCATTCTCGAGTTGTGTTGGGCTTGTGTCTGTGGCTACCACGTTCTTGTAGATCTTAGCTAACTGAAAAACAGGGGAAAAACAGAGTAAAGAGCGCAGACTCATGTGATCTTGAATACAAGAATGTCAATCCCAACAAGGGTTTAATTGAGTTGATAGATAAATAAAAGAGATCAGACTCACAGATCGAGCAGCCTGGCCGCTACCGGTGCCGACATCCCAAGCAAGATCATGGGAAGGTGTCATAGAAGAAATGAACTGGAAAAGTTGGTCGGGATAACATGGGCGGCTCTCAGCATACTGTTTTGCCTGATTAATGAACAAATTTGCCATTTGGAATTCTCTGTCTAAATCTAACAAGATGTTGACGAGTTTTATGTGTGTGGACGGAAATGAGGTTGTGTTTAAGTAAGGGAAATGTGTGGCAGTGACTAGCTTGCGACTTTTGAATCTGTGTAAAAAATACAGCTTGCGTTTTTGACCGATGTAGTTTTTTGCATTGAACCTTTGAATCTAACTTTGTATTCTCGCATTTTTGCCTTACCATTCCAAGCTATTAAGGCATACCGAGCAGCACACAATTGCAGAGTTGGATTTATCATCTATATTAAAAAAAAGGTTAAATACCTTTTTGGTCCCTCTACTATTGAAAAAAATCTCTTTTTGGTTCTTGTACTAAAAAAATCCTTTTTTTAGTGTCTAAAATTTAAAATCTGACATCTTTTTAGTCCATCTATTAAATTTTTGTTGATTTGTTATGTTAATTAACAGAATCACTTATTATTTTTTTATATAAATGATATTATAAATTATGTGAAAATTACGTGGATAAAATTATAAATTAATGTAAGCATTTCATTTGAATATTTTACACCATCCGTACAAATTAAAAATTTTACTTTTTAATTCATGAATTAAATGAATTTAAACAAAATTAACTTTAATTTCGTCATCTTCTTCATTCTCTTCATCCTTATCCTCATCCTCATCCTCGGCATCATCATGTCATCGTTTATCTTCACTATCCTCTTCGCCATCCTCTTCCTTATCCTAGGTTCCTTGTGGAACCTAGAAACTGGGTTCCAACCCTCTTTTTTTTTTTTTTTTTCATTTTAAATGTATCTATCTTCCATAAAAGAGTAGAATGAAACCAAAGTTTCATGTTTGGGTTTGAATTAGAGA